AAGGCTGAACAGCAGGTGAGTGAACTGACTGGACTGAGGAGACTAATGGATAAACAGAGGTCGGTGAGGATATGGCTGAGCTGAGGTTGGTACGGCTAATGGCTGAGCCAAAGACTGAGCTAGTGAGGGGGATAAAGCTGTAGCTTGGGCTAGTAAGGCTGGTGCCTGAGCAGAGGACAGGTCAGCTAGCCTAACTAGAGATAGTGCTAGGGCATGGAAAGCTGAGTGAGGAGATGGACGGGCTGGCGAATTAGCAGGTGGACAGGTTAGCTCTTCCGTGCCTCCGGAGTGTGAGGGCGCTTACTGGAGAGCCTCAGCCGAGCCTCTAGGGGGGTCAGGTCGGATCCTGGCCACCCTCAGCCTGGGCGCTGGGACAGGCGCGGGAGGTGGCTGGACACCAGTCACCCCCACCTGAGAAACAGGAACGGGTGTGGAGGTAGACTGGGTCGCAGCTGCCCTCCTCCTGGGAGCTGGCACTGGTGTGGGTATAGGCTGACTGACGGGAGTGGAGATAATGACTGGGTGAGTGATACTGACAGGTTTGGGTGCATGAGTATTTTTAACAGTGGCCGGAGCTGATGAAACCGGAACAGGCTGACAGGTGGACCAAGGAGCAGACTCAGATAAAACGGTCCTAGAGTGAGCAGGCCTAGGGTTTGCATACACACGGACTGTAACAGATTTATCGGAGATTGCTCTGGCCTTTCTGCCATCACCATTTACAGTCTTTAGTTGAACAGTCTCCGGAGGTGTTGAAGTGCGGGGATTGTCCTTAATGAATCCCAGCTCAGAGGGAGCAGAGCAGAAAAAGTCTTCCCAGTCCACATCGTCCTCTAGGAGGGAAACTCCCCATGAATCAGAAGTGAGTGTACTGTGCGTTTTAAGGGAGTAATCAGATGAAGGGTGTGGAAAACAGTCACTGGAACTCACCACCGGGAGTTGCTGAAAATGGTCCATATTATGGCGGCGTGTGCGCCGCTTTCTCCGGGAAGAGGAAGCGGCCGGGGTAAACAGCTGAGCCTCTGGCGCGGTAGCCTCCATTGAGCCAAGGTGGGAGGCGTAACCGCTGTGCCGTGGCAAAGGCGGAGGTCCGGCGAATGAGGCGGCGGGTGTGTGAGCGAGGAGCGGAGCGGCGAGAGAGGGAGCGGCCGAAGCGCGGCGTGAAACGTCCGCTCTCCACGGCAAATGCTCCGGTGCAGGTGAGGCAGCAGGTGGGGGAACGCGGCATCTCCGAGGCCCGCCCAGAGCCAGGCGAGTCCCCTCGAAGACGTGCTCTTTCTCCGCGAAGAGCCGCTGTTTTCCCCTGAGCTCCTCTGCCCAACGGGAAAGTGCTGCCTCCTGCCGCTCGTAGAGGTCCGAGTCCGCTGGGTTCCAATCGTGTCTTCGTG